AATAATACAGTGATTAGTTAATGAAATGGCAAAAGTTCATTGGTTAACTTTTGTTTTTCAAAGCCACAATCAGTACTGAGAGTACAGTTAGTGATATAGTACAGTTAGTGATATATGCTGTATGATTGACTTTCATTTGATAATGCTTGATGCATGGATTGATCGACTAGCAATAATGAATTGCCGAAAGTGCTCGAAAATTTCTGTGAATACTCTGGATAGATGGAATGCACAAAAGAAAGAATATTTCGGTTATTGCCTCTCTGGATTGGTTCAGTTTCTGTTTGATTGCGAAGTAAACGATGAATGCAGCCAGCAGTCAGTCATGCTTTCTTCTCTCAATGAACAATGCTGTAACTTTTGCAGTTGATGTACATGGAGTTGACAACGGTCGATGAGTGGACACGTCGAAAACGCAGTTCAACCGAGAAGTGCACCAGGGAAATGAACGAGCCATCGTGTTGCTTGTACAGCTTACAAGTGAATTTCGAGAGGGCTGGTTGGGACTTCATAATCGCACCGAAACTCTATGATGCGCAGATGTGTAGTGGTGAATGTCGATTGCATCATGTGAGTACATTCCTCATCATTTTAGTACTCAATTTTTGATGCACACTTTATCGTGATGATGATGAATATTTTGAAGCGAACGCCTGAAACATTCCCATCATTTGAGAACATTTCTGAATTTTATGCCTATCTTTTGTTATCATTTGTTACCTATCTGCAGCTCACCCAATATTTCCTCTGCAAATTGCGAACTACCACTTGGGAATCGTACTCTGCTCTAGTTTTGACCACACTGAATCCTGCTGAGAGATATGTGCAAACCAATCCAATGTATTTATCAGTATCTCAGTGATCTAACACATATTACTTGGTCGATCAAGATTAGTGTTAGATTGACAGCAATATTAGATTACCGGTCAAGTTACCGGTTATTGCAGTTCTTCATCATTAGAATACCTATGCAGTCCGTAAAAAATCCTTGAAGCAACGCTCGATTTCTCTCGATGAAATATTGCGAATCATTTATTTCTGTGTTTGCATGAAAACCGTAGTTTCATTAGAAATTCCGTCACACATACATATGTACTTACCCATTTTTTTGCGATGACATCAACAAAGGAATTTTCCATAATCATTTATCACTTTCCATTATCCATTATCACTGACCGATTATTTCATCATATTATTGAAATCATAGAACAATCACGTCACTCAAAACACTGATTGATCAGATGATTTTTCTCGCTCCATTTCCCCTTTCCCCACAATTTCGATTCGATTCAGATCATGCGGCGATCTCAATGAGTCATTGAAGAAGTTGTGCATTGATGTTCCTTTTTTTCAGATTTGTAGTCGCGCTAATGAGTGCTAATCAACAACAGAAAACAATTTTAGTTGAATGAGCGATTGAGTCACCCGAATTCGGTGCGCTAGAGAAGGAATTGCTTGTTTGATGTTCTGTGCGATAATATAGTTGATGCTCGCCGATTCGACTCTAATATCTAGTGGCTTGGTGATTGAAAATCACATTCAAGAGTTGCAAGCTGACCGCTCAAATTTGGATGCAGAAAGTGATCGCGTCAGAAAGCGGTACCATTAAATGGGATTTTATTCCTAAACCTTTCACTGCATCAAAATCAACTCAAATTTCAGCCAGATCGTTCACCGCACAGCAAGATCACATCATCGACAACCAACAACACAGTATCAGGATGTTGTCATCCATCTGAATACGACCCAATGACACTGGTTTATATGACTCAGGATATGGAAGTGAAGATAAAGGACGTTCCTGGAATGATTGCTAGACGTTGTACATGTGGTTGATCTCATCTCATTACTGGATACGCTTATTGTGGTCGTTTATAATATGCTGTATGATTGACTTTCATTTGATAATGCTTGATGCATGGATTGATCAACTCAAATCACTGATCAAATCACTTTCGACTGCACAGCGCTTTTGTCATTATTATCAGTATCTTTGTTGTTTGATATTGGAATACTGAAGATTGGAACAGCATTAATTTGGCATCATTATTAGCACAAGTTCCTGGCCAGTAAATAATAATCGCTTTTTAACGCTGCCATCAGAAAATGTTTGTTTGTGTGAATAACATCATCGAAGTTGCTTAATCAGTTCGCAAGATGCAGTCACAATCTAATGCTTTTTAAATACTCTAGTCGTCAGATGGATTCCGTGTGAAATGCAACTACCTGCAATTGTTTTTTCTCGTAAGTATTTGACAACAGTAAGAGCGTTATTTTACTGCTCATTACATCGTATGATTATTATGCGATACACTGTGGAGTAGGTCATATCAAGTCATTTCGTACAATAATTTAAGTTTACAAGGTATACGTTTCCTTTCTAATGCTGACAGCTTCTACACCGAACTGAACACTAGTCAAACGTGATTTTGTTTCATTTCACTTCGGAACATTCTTTGATATAAGTAAACGTTAGTACGGTATAGTCATCCCCTACTATAAGTTCCTCAATAAAATTATATCAAACGTAATTTGGTATAATCTCATTGAGGAACTCACCGGTGACATTAAGAGTTTCAGTTGAGAATGCACGATTGCGGATTAATTTGAGATGAGATAGAACTTTTTATTGATCTTGGAGTTTTGAAAATTTTGAACTGTGACCAGTAATAGCAATCATCATCAACTGTGATATATACATGATGTACATTGTTCTAATTAATATACATGTATTGTACTTATTGTGATTGATTATTCCGTTGATTGGTTGGTGTTTTGGGCATATTTGCAATATGCTTCACTTCATAGGTATTAATACTGAGTGATACGTGTATTTTGATACAGACATACTCATATGTCAATTAATATTGCGTGTTGTTACGAGAAATTGTGATTCTTACTGATACTAAAGGTGAACAACGCCATCCATTGTGTGTTTTTGTGTTGTATTATGTACTACTACTTCTCAGAGTCACCGTACACATTCCATCTGTTGGAACCTCATTCATTGCTTACTGTAACCACCCTCTTCTGATGATCACTCACCGTATCCAATCAATCAATGTAATTTCGCAATTTCTTTTATATGTGAATGTTTTACGAATGCGCTGCGTCTTCTGAGTGTAACGTTTACTTTTACATATCACCTTTTTAATTGAAAATATAATTCAACGAGTAGTTCCATGTGAATCAATGATCTTTGAATACTCGAACTAAGGGGTGGTCTTCAATGAAGCGTTAAACGAGGTTTCCAAGTATATACTATGTTATAATTGTTATTGTGATCGTCTCGCGACGGCTTTCGTCATTGTCATTCGTTGTCCAGCGAGCAGTTCTAGAATTGTTTTATGTGATTTGATTTTGATTATTCGATTAATGAGGTGTGCTTGATTGATTCGTTTGAATTGATTCGAATGCAGTGGCGTTTTCTTTTTTATAATCATCGTCAACAGATACCAAAGATGTTGTTAGCATTACGATAAAACCTCTTCAACAGAATTTCCAATATGATCTTATTTTGTCGTCGTCGTCATTGTTGTTCGGATCGTTCGTTCGTGCATTTAAAAGTCTCGCTGCCCATCGTTGTATTTCACTCAATAATATAACTCACAACGAAATTAAGCTGTTAAAATTTCTTAAAAACTAACTGGTTTCTGGATATTCGGTTATGCATTCTTTCGACATTGAAGTGTTTTCATTTTTCAACATGAATGGCGACTTTTTTTTTCAATGAAGCAAAGATCACTGTTTACGTATTCATAGTGAAATTCGAATCAAAAACTGACGATGAATCTTACGATTACTGATTGTGAGAATTTGCAAATTCATCGAAAGATCAAAAAATTGGAGCGGAAAAATCGGTAGTTCAAGAGATTTTGAGTATTTTGAATACGCTGCAATCGCAGTAGTCCATCTCGAAATTTCTGTGTCATTTCTCGATTATCTGCACGCTTTTGCATGCTCTATAGTAGGCTGATGAAATAATGAAATGCATTGAACAGATCGTGTTGTGGTATTTCATGCAAAGTGTGTTATTGATGCTAGAGATTTCATAAGGAATCTTCTTTGAAAATCGAACAAACATACTCTTATTCAGTGATGGGCACTTCCTCTGTTAGTACCGCTGTCGAATGGTTATTTCGAAAGTGGAAGTGGGTGCTCTTGCTTACGGACATTCATTCTTCTTAAACACCACTGATATGTCAGTAAGTCATAGCTTTGCTGCAAAAAAATAACGAAACGAATTGAACAAATAACAACGTTGATCAACAGTTGACAGATAATAGTGGTATATATCAACGGTAATCATATCAATCAGTTAGTAATTGCGAACGAAATTGCTCTAGGCAAATGAATGATGATAGTGTCATTTTGTTGTTGTTGTTTTGATCAACATTGAGCGGAACGGATTCAACGAAACTAGTAACTGCGCAATCATCAGCTTTTCGCTTACTTTAACCATAAGAAGTCTTGAAATTTTTCTTCATCGTAGCAAATTAATTCATCATAGAAACTATGTTTGTCTGTTGATTAATCGACTGGTTATTCAAAGGATCCGTTTGAAAAATACAAACGCTCAATTACTCGGAACTAAATAGGTCAATAATAATAATAATATTATGAATGAATGTTATGAAAAGCATTTTTTTTCCGGTAGATTATTCACTCAAAGATGACAACCGATTAATGTTAAATGTTAGTCGACTTAAGTTTGTTTATATATGCACTTGACTTTGTATATGTATTATGTTGCAAATCCGATATACGAACATCTTTATATATGTATTATATATGCAGTAAATAATTAATCTTATATAATCCGATACACAGAAACACAACAATGAACAAAACTATGTGTTATTGACACGCCCGGTGCATGCTTGATATCTGATCGTGAGTCAGTGAGTTAATCGTTCGATCGACGAGCGATATGCGAATTCGTCAGCAGCAGCAGAAGAGTTCTGTGAAAGGTAGTACCAAAAGAAAAGCACACCACTCGGACAAACAACATATAATTCAGGCGTTCTGTGACACAACTCCATTTCGCTAATAACAACAATACACAAAAAATAACGCATATCAGACATACAGATAGAAATACGTTTGCACACAAATATTCAAACGAGAACTTTTTTAAACTGATAGTGCCGACACATAAAACTGGCGGTGGATATGTTATAAAATTAGATATAAAATGATACAAAATATGACTTGAAATTAGCAGTACAAGATACACACATTAAATAACAAACAATACGTATATTTTTCGGCGAAAGCACAAATATTGGTTTTTTGGAAATTTTGGCAAAAGATAGACGACACACAAACATTGCTTTTGATAAGAGGAAAACAGAGATTCACTCGAACAGAATTCGGCGTTCGGCAGTTACAGTGAGTGAGATTCGATCAACTGAATGCAAGTAGTAACGACAATATGGACAACATCGACAATATCAAATTCTAGATAATAAACACGAAGGCAGTAATGAATTAATGATGAAATATTATATTCACTTTCACTTCACAAAATCAACCAGTTAAAATAATTGTACGGGAATGATCACTGACCAATGGGAAGTGCCACTCGATATATTTGCGTATTGTCTAGTAAAACCCGATATTCACAGACTGAATCCAATATCCAATCTGCACGCAACACTTCAACACCTTTATCTAATTCGAATCTGAAACGATTTCAGATCATTCCTTTCAAGCTCTTTTCATTTGCTCACCAACAATCTTTTTGTTTAACAACTAATTCCTTCATTAAATTCATTACTCGTATCGTTAAAATCAACATCGTTACGGTATCACATTACTCCATTCAACAGTGCCACTTTTCAGCAGCATGCGATTTTCTTCAGTTAATTCTCGATCGACAGCGCGAAAAGCATTAAAATTTTTGAATCATATCATTGACAAACTACTGTTTGAGTGAACTAAATTACATCCGAACATACCGTTCATCCCTCGACGAAACACGCACAATGCGCAAGCAACACCAAATGAATAATACGATTGACGACCGGGGTGAGAATGAATCAAACATAAAAAAACTACACTAACTTTCTAGCCGCGCTTACACTCGACGATCCTGGAGCGAATATGATGAAAGCACGCTTCGATGACGATGGTAAGTCCCACAAATGATCCACACACTTTCCAGACATCATCTCGATTATTTCTTGAAGACGATCTAAAATTGTCGCCATCACCAGTTACGCATTTTATTATCAGAAATAGCCCTATCGCTAATATTACTAGCACAATAATATAACGAAGATAAGTCATGATTATTATTCCTTTCAATGACCATCATTCCAACAGCAATCTATTACCATACCAGTTTGCAAAATTCATGCCACATTCATTCACCACACAAAAGCATATCATTATATGAAATACTTTCCACAAACTGGCCTTCAAGCGAATTTCACACTGCTCCACTGAATTTTCAGAATGAAATGGAATAAATGAACGGATGAAAATGCAAATTGCAATTTGATTCAATTCAAATAATATCAGAAACAATATCAACCAACCTTTCGTGACAATTTTCGAAAAGCGGAAGTACGGAACGGGCAAATAGAAGGTGAATCCATTGAAGAGGTCCGCATCTCCTTGACGTGAACGTCGTGCGGCCCGACTGCATCGATTCACTTGCAGATCACCTTCCACTTCATAGCCATCCTCAACCAGAATTCATCTTGCAATTCACCACGCAAATCACAATTTCTTCTTCGATAATCAACATTTACAATCAGTCGAGAACGTAATTACTTATGATTCGAATGGATTAAATTGCGAATGCAAAACTGAATAAATGAGATGACTTACAATCGACTGAAGTTCTTTCTGCTGAACTGAATCAACGATCCACTGATGCGTGACAATAATGCAACGATTCGCTATTGCGTACGCATATTTCAGCGAACGACTCTTACACAAACGATCTTCTGAACAAATCTATCATTAACCATTCCCATCTCTTCATTTATCACTCAATATTAATGTCATCTTAACGGAAAAACAATCCAACGGTTCAACAGAACAAGCTAGTTTCGGCGAGAATACTTCGATAAAAATAATATTTCAACAGGTTGCAATCTTCTACGTGCAGTAAGTCGGTAATATAAATGATGATCAGAGTTGAACATGCACACTGGTAACATCGAAAACGTGTGATCAAGTGCATTCACTTCATCACTTGAGAAGATCAATCACTTCAAAGTTTCACTTGACGATGAAAATATATTCTTTATGTGACTAAAAATAGACAAAAAAANAAAAAAACACACATCAGTAACAAAGAGGAAATAACGACCTGTATTATAGATGACTAGATGAGTGCAGTCACGGGTCATTTCATGTGAGAGACACGATGTGGGAAACATTTTCAAGAACGACTTCACTTGTTCCTAGAATATCAGTTTATTATTCTCATTACTATCATTCAAAATGAATGACTCACTCAAAAAATACACGTTCTCGATTCTTACCGCTTCAGAAGTTTGTTTAAGACCAGATACCATAAATTTGATGGCCACACAAGACGAAGACGATGCCATCGGACATGTCTGCAACGAGTTCGTAACCACTTCTTTACAGTTGCTTATGAATGTGTTGATTTTGGATGCGATTGAAACAGAGGGTTGCTGAGATGACCACAGAAGGCTATTGTTTGCGAGTGTTCCACTGTTGTCGATCGTCATCGATTCAGAAGATGAATAGACTTGCGACTGAGAGTGTTTCGTTGCTGATCTCTGAGTGCAGTTCTCCACTTTTGATTGCTCCAGCCGTTCACGATGGTCACCACAATTCGTTTCATCATCAACTGAAATTTTTTCACTAATTACTTCGGCCTTTCGCAATCATCAGGAATGCATTACTTTACAGAAACATTGTCAATCGTCATCGATGAGTGAATCACAAAGCATGAAGATCTGAAAACGAACCAGGATTATTTTCAGTCTGTTGAGAGTGAGTAGCCATAGGTTCAGTTTGATCAACGTCTCCAACACGCACGTATTTGTGAGTTGCCACTTCACTTTCATCAACCACTGAGCGACATTCATCGTCATTTGTATCTAAAGTTGTCGAATCAAAACAATGCATAGTCAATGGATTAATTTCCAAACAATCCAAAACAATTAAGCCATAGTTAAGTCAAAAGAAAAACCAAAGAAAATTCAAAGAAAACGAAAATTATTCGTAGAAACAACAAAATTTCCGAAACAATTCAATAAAACGTAAACCAAAATTGATCACTAACAACAAACCAATTCGTTCCGCGTTGTTTTCAAGGCGTTGATGATCGATTTCAGTCAGATCGTCACAATCGAAACGCTCACAAAAATTATCATAACTCTGAAAATTCACATCTTTTTTTATGTGATCACTTCATTCAACTCATGACAGAAGTTTTGAAAAAAGGAAAGAAAAGTATGAAAATGAAATTGCGAAACCGTCAGACTGACCATTCCAAGGAAAGTCGGTATCCACGGAAGACATGCCAACAGTGCTTGTACACGAGTTTCTGCTAANGTAACCATCAACTCCAATTTACTGACTGCTTCACTCGCATCACTTTTGAAACGATCCAAATTTGGTGCTGTTGTCGTTGCTGTTGTCTGCACGTAGCAGTCAACTGATAATCGTTTCGTTGAGCCTGTTTCCGAATCAGCTTTATCGCCTTTATCAACTATTCGAATCCGATCGATTCCACAAAAATCGGTCTGAATGTCCATCGATTTCCGTTCGCACTCACCACCACCCTCAGTTTGGGTTGACACTTCACTGACGCGAACATCAACTGCCGACTGTTCCACTTGAGTACCCACATTTACTTGCCTAATTGACGGCGTTTGTGATGAAACATGGTTGGGTGCGGCAGCTTTGTGCAGAACGTAAGCATGATCTAAATCTACCACAGGAACTGCGTCTGCCATGAAACTGCCCGAATCCGTTTGAGTAAAATGATCTTTACATCTGCGTTTCACTTGTATTTTAACATTTCGACGAGCAGTTGGCAATAGAACTTGTAAACAAACGTCACGATTTTGCTTGTTAGCATTTCTCGACTCTTCAACATTATCATTACTGCGATCAGTTCCGTGGAGAGCATCACTCCTCATGATATTTGGATCATTATTCGATCGACATCCTTCAGTTGGCACTGCTTTCAATTGCTGAGATGAATGCTCTTTTCGTAATTGCTCTTGTTTTGAGATGTGGTCATCTGTTGCATTATGGAAGTCTTGAGAGATCTGTAAAGAATTTATTTGTTGTTGTATATTTTTGTCCGATGTCTCAATCCCATCCATTTTTCCGTACTGATTTTCGACTGTTCCAATTGCAACATCTGATTCTAAATTCTTCAGCGTAGTTGATATCGCATCAGATCCCGTCACCATATCAACATCTCTATCGGCAGCATCTGACCAACCGCATTCGAGTGATGACGAAGGAGGCGCTATCGGAACGCCTTCAGTAGTATTGGCATTATTATTTGCATCACTTTCGGGAAGGTTTTGATCCAAACTCTTGCCACTGACCACAACAACAACAACATTGTTTGCCCTTTGATCAGTAAGTGCTTCTGTGGTGGTGGTGCAAGTCTTCGACAGAGAAGATTCCTGCGGTGACAATGACACTGCCGCACAATCTGCTCGAGAAAGTTGTTTCGATGGCTCATTCAACGACTCAGAGATTTGTGAAGATCGATCAGAAATTTGCTGCGCTTGCTGCATACTTTCATTTGCATGAGTTTGTACATCTGAAGGTGTCGCAGAAGAATCCGTGGAACTTTCGAGGATTGTCGAAAGATTTGTCGGTTTGGATAGTGATGATCGAAATGCGGACTTCAACGTTTTTCGCAATATGACGATAGGAGCCGTCCTCGGAATGTTGCCATTCAGTTGACTAGACTCACAAAGTCTACGCTGTTTTTGTTCGGGTGGTTCGCTCTCAGTACGTTGACTTCCATTTGAAACGCGCACATCATCGAAAGACCGTTTTAACGGAAAGTAAACAGAAGGCTGCTTACTGGATGAAGGTTGCTCCTTAAAGAAACTTCTGTTATAGACATAAAATTATTTTTTGTTTATTCTTTTAACCACAAGATGATACGCGAATTTCGTTTTTCTTTAATTCACTGATAATATCATAATCAAAATCGCTAAGTTTGTAAATGCTCAAACAACTACTCTTCACTGCAATTCAAGCAGCACTAAACAGAAAACATTCTCAAATGATGGTGCAATTTTTAGTGTTACTACTGAATGGAATCCTTAATTCGGTGCTCCAAAAAAAATTTAACCTTTGAATTCGAAATAACAGTATTCGTGGTAGATCGGAGTGGTAAACGAGCAACTGTAGAAGTGACAGTATTTTGAGTATTTACTAACTGAAAAATTATTATCTTCATAAGTCACATTTCAACTATTCAAAGAATCTTTTGAACAATACTTCAATAATTCATTTATGGAATATTAGAATCGAAATTGAGACATAAATCAAAAACCAATCGCTTGTAACAAATATCCGATCATACATTGACTAATACAAAAATGATTAAGTGTGAATGCCATTGCACAAAGTTGACGAAATAAAAATATTGTCGATCACTACATCGGTGCATCGAAACATAACAAAGAAGTCGAACGTTAGTAATTGACTGGTTGATATTCATTACCTGACTTTCGATGAATTCAGCCTCTTTCGGTAAACGTATCCCCAAACAATCTCGTTTGTACGCTCTTGCAAATTTCAAATATCTATCCAGTATGTCGTTGAGTTGAGGACAATCCCCACAATTCCTGCAACGTTTACGCGTGCAACAATCACCATTTTGATGAAAGATGTTTTGCTATTTTGAATCAATCATTCAATCGTTTCAAATCAAACTGTTATCATGTTGTGCGAATGTTTTGCGTCATTCTTGGTTCAAAACAAAAATCGAATGATAACGAAAATCGGATGGTCAAATTCTCTGATGTGCCGACTTTTCATTATTTTGTAATTAAAGTAATTAGGGAATAAGAATCTTGGTTTCACATTGCATGATGTACCTTCTGTTTAAACGTTGATTGCATACTGGACACTTCAACGTTTTCAGTTTGTCGATACATTGATGAAGACACTCCCTGAATGAACGAACAGAAATTATCATTCGAAGTCATTATTTCACTATTTTTAATGATACATTGTCACTTCGAACAAACCATGGATAAAGTAATGCGATCTGGTTCTGATTTTATCAGAAAAATTCACTGTTGTAATGATCATCTCTTGCACCAGCTTAAACATGGAGTGACTAAGCTACGTGGTCGGATGATGCAACGTTAAAATTCTAACAATAAGCAAACAAGATTCTAATTCATCCACTTTCAGAAGTGGATCGTTGAAAACAGCGATATTGGAAGAAGTGAATTTGAATAGAAAATACAACTGCATCACTCACTTGCAGAAAGCATGACAGCACGTCGTTACAACAGGATCTCTTAAAGTGGAACAACTGAAAATGCTTCAAATTATTTCTTGATCGAAAACGAAAACAAAGCTTCAGAGGAAATACAAAATGAGATGTGAGTGTTAAATACGTTAACGGATTAATGTGAAAATGTCTTTTCAAACAAATTATCACCACATCTGAACACATTTCTGAACCGAACGCAAAGTTTCCCTACTGTTAGCATCACGATTCCTATTACTACGACCATCATTTATTGATATTAGTACTAATTATTGCAGCCACCTTGAATCATTTCATAAATTAAATGTACAAAAAGCAATAAAATAGATGAAAATGCCAGCACAAGCATAAACATACCAAATACCACAACGCAGAATGAGTTTCATATTCATGAGGTCATCCATCAGCATTTTGATAGGACCAGCCATCTTCAGCGATATATCCATTTCACTGTTCGTCATCCTGGTCGTCTTGTCTTATTTCTATTCTGAAGATGTCATTTCTGATTGATTAGGGTCTGTTTGAAAGAGTTTCATCCATGCAATAATCTGTTACGTCAACAGAAAGCAACGACGAATGCATCAAGAAGCACGAAGTGAATAATGCACTTGATATCATTTGCGAATCGAAGCAAATTCAAACCAAAATCATTCTCATCAATTATCAATATGAACGTAATCACTGTGTTCATTGAAGGGATGGCCAGAAGATTTCTGTGAATTTGTATTAAATTTCCTCACCTTAAAATAAAGAGCTCAACCATGTCAGATGCAAGATAATAATTTCTTGATGCCCGTATACGCACGTAATAGGTATCAAACATTCCCGTCTACTAATACGGTAGAGAATGCTTGACAGAAACCCATACTGCTACTATATAT